TACGCACAATTTACTAGTAATCTTGAGTTTTAAGTAATATGCATTAATAAACAGTACTTTACGTATAAAAAGTGATTTTTAAGATTTTTTGTCAAATGATTTATAATATAGAATATATATTTTTTTTTATAATTTAATTTAAGTTTAATAATAAGATAATTTATTTTTGGTTTAATATTATAAATTTTATAAATATAATAATTAAGTATTCTGTTAGAATTTAACGATTATACTAATTATATTTTAGATTTTTTATATTTAAAATGAGATGTTTATCATATATCTGATTGTGTTTATCTACAGTTAATTACACAAATTCAGATATAAGATGAAATCGTTTAGAAATAAACGAGTTTAAGAGTTTTAAAAGTTTATAAAAATTTTAATCAAATGTTTTATAAGATAGTATACATATATAAAAGTAAGATAACGAAAAGAAGATGTTAGCAAATTTATGATAATAAAATAATTGATTACTTATCATGTCAAAGGATGGTTGGACACTTGGCAGCATGTCATAATTCAACCTCACCCAATTCTCAGTCAACCATTTTGCATTTTCCTCCTCCACCCATCCAAATCACTTTCTTGGTCCTTCATAACTACCCATCATAAATGCATACAGCATACAACTATTTGACTTATTTATTCAGAATAATATTTTTGACATTTCTTTTTAATATATATAACATATTTTTTTTTCTTTATCCTAAGAGGCCGTTTATCAAATACTTATCTGGTAAGTATTTACCTAAAAAATTTAACACTACAACTTAGTCACGAGGTAAGCCTTTAGTCCACCAAAACGTTATCGTATGCACCAATTTACCCAGTAAGCGTTTACCATGGTAAGAGTTGTTGCCCTCACTTACCGGGTAAGACTCTCGATCCTTGTCTCCCTCTTAGCTAGGGGTGTTAAAAAAAAACCGTTGCACCGCTCAAACCGGTCGAACCAAGTCAAACCGGACCGTTTTTGGCGGTTTGAGCGGTCTGACGGTTTGGTTTGGTTTGGAAAATAGCAAAATCGGGCGGTCCGGTCCAGTCTGCGGTCTGGAACCTTTTTTGGGCAGTTTGGACCAAACCGACCGCCAAATATATATATATATATATATGTATGTGTAATTTAATTATTTATTTTTGTATTAGCAAGTCCAACTTTTTTAACTTATGGGATATAGCTCAAATATATCCCTAAACCCAACTTAAAGCCAACATCTAACATAATCGAGATGGATATTTAATCTAAAGTTATAAATTATATATGTTTTTTAAGTTTAATATTTAAAGTCTATTAAAGGCCCAAACCGCCTAAACCGGTTAGACCAGACCGCCTTTTTATGGTCTGGTTTGACCGGTCTGGGCACTTGATGTCAAATCGCTCGGTTTGAAAATTTTATAAATCGTCATTACGATTTGGCTTGTGGTCTGAGGGGTTAAACCGCCCAAACCGGACCGCGAACACCCCTACTCCTAGCGGATAAGATTCATGGTTCTTACAATATTCATTCGATAAAGTAATGTGACTTGGTAAACTCTTATCCGGATAAGCATTTGGTAAACGGCCTAACCTTCCTCTATCCTCTTTCTATTTTCTTTCATTCAATCCATTATTTCCTTTCTATTTTCCCTTTCATTTAATGTCATTCCTAACTTCATTCTCTATCTATCTATATTATATATACAAATATATATATATATATATATATATATAATATATATATATATATATTCTTGTATCACATAATAATCCAATTCATCCCCACTCCTAACCATTTTCTCTTCATCAATTTACATTCTCTCTGAAAACACATAACAACATATATACAACGTACAATGATGGCAAATGACCATTTAAATGGCACAATGCCTCCACGATGTTCTTCCTTTTCGTCGAGGTCATCTCGTACACTAGCAGTATTGACGCCTTGTGCTGCGTGTAGGATGTTAAGAAGAAGGTGTGTGGAAAAATGCATATTGGCACCTCATTTTCCGCCTGATGAACCTCTCAAGTTCACTGTGGCTCACCGTATTTTTGGTGCTAGCAACGTAATCAAGTTGTTACAGGTAATAGAATTATTGTATTCGTTGAGGCTTACATCTTACTAATAGCAAGTGAGCTTATTAGATTGTGAAATCGTCATCTTTGTTGAACTCGAACATATCTGTTTATTGTTATTAATATTAAATCTTTTTTTTAAATCAACACTCAAAAGCATATATGAGATCTACCAACTAGAGATTTCAAAAAAGTATGAACGATTAACCAGCCAAATTATTGAGGAACTTGATTTCATTTCAATCTTTCAGGAATTGCCGGAATCTCAAAGAACTGATGCAGTTAATAGCATGGTGTACGAGGCTAATGCAAGAATCAGAGACCCTGTCTATGGATGTACCGGTGCCATTTTTCAACTTCAAAACCAAGTGAACGAACTTCAAGCCCAACTAGCCAAAGCTAAAGCTGACGTACTTAACATTCAATGCCAATACGCAGCTCTGGTTTGCATCAAAACGAGTCGATCTCCTCAAACATCATCTGAAGAATCTTTTGATGGATTGAAAAACAGTTTTGATGAGAGCTTTCAAAGCAGTAACCCTAGTTTTTATCTTGACAACGAACAAGATCCGTTATGGGACACCATTTGGGCATGAATATATCATTTTTTTTTTTGTGGACAATATCTTCCAATGGCAAAGTCCAACATATGTTAGGAATACTGTTAAGTCAACTCGATATGGTGTGTGTTTGTAACAAGATGAAGAAATCACACCCGAATCAGTAAACTGAACACAGGGAAATCTTGTGTCGTTTACATATCAGTGTAAAAATTAGTATCTGTTAGGAACCAACAAGTGTTGAAATCAAAATCATGATCTTTAATTAATGTTCATATTGTTTTTATAATCAAAAGGCATTTTACATATACAATAAAATGATAAAATGTAGTAAATATATGACAACACACTGTTAGTTCATTTCTAATTTGATCGCTAAACTTAAATAATCAGTATTTTACACACAGTTTTTTGCAAGTCAGATATCTTTAACAACTGCTCTACTCTTTGAGAAAGAAGAGATGTTTGCATACATCTCACTCCTCCTACACCCTATTTTCAAGTGTAACATACTAACAAGTCGTTTACGAAATAATTATCGGATAAACGTATACCGACAAGAGTCACTACCCTCACTTACCTTATCAGATAACATTCTCGACCACCAAAATCAATTATTCGTAAGTATCTCTTTACCGATAAGCATTAACCGGATAAGAGTCATTTAATTCACTTACTGGATAAGATTCTTAGCTCTTACTATACCTATTACCATGTAATATCTCGGTCCGTACCACACTTATCCGACAATACAAACGTTTATCCGATAAGCATTTGGTAAACAGCCCATAAATTTATTCGATAAACTCAGTGTTTTAACAAATCTAATATATCTATTAAATTAAATGAAATTAAAATCTTATGATAGAAAGTGGGTTTTGGTCTTATATTTGCATTTAATTCAACCTTTTTTGGTCACCTAAATTTATGGTTCCCTATGGGAAGGGATAGTTGACTCTTTATGGACCGTTGACCATAACTATCCAAATTTCAATTTACATCTAACTAGTTAGGTATTGGACATATTTTTTTAAAATAAAATTAATATATAAAATTATTAAAAAAAAATAAGACTGGTTTTTATTTTGATTTATTTTTTCAAAATTAATTATAAAACTATTTAATAAAATCAAATACAAACATAATAAATATTGATTTTTGAAAAATATACACAAAAGTATAAGGGGTTGTTTGATAATTGTTGAATGATTAAATGATCAGAATGATTAAGAGGCTCTCATGATATAGTTCAAAATGAAATATAATTGTTTGGTAACTATTTACAATGAAATTAGGACGTTGAATGGTTAAGGGATGCCTAGGATACAAAATCATTCAAAGGGATTTGGAACCATTAAGAGACATACTCTTTTTTTGCCAAACAAGATTCATCTCTTAACGATTTAGAGCATGTCTTTTAATGAAACTATAAAAAAAATAAACAAACAACTCCTAAAATTTTAAGTTTTACACATGAAATTTAATACATAATTTGAATTAAATAAATTATTATTACTATTATAAAATATAATTATTTTCATTAACGGTCTATTTATTGTATAACAAAATATATTTTAAAATTCTAACGATTCATAACAGCAAGTTTGTTTGTTTATCTTTTAATAGTTCTAATAAGAGGCAGTATTTGAATCTTTAAGAGGTGAATTTTGTTTGACAAAGAAAAAATTATGTCTGTTAATGGTTCTGAAACCCTCTGAATGATTTTGCATCATTGGTCTTCCATAACCATTCAACGTCCTAATTTCATTGTAAACAATTATCAAATAATTATATTTCATGTTGCATTATATCATGAGAGTCTCTTAATCATTCTGTACCAAACCATTCAGCAACTGTCAAACAGCCTCTTAGTTATATCAAAAATTGTTACAAATGCAGTTCTTTTTTATAATATTTATTGTTATAAAATCAATTGTCTTTTAAAAAAATTCACTTTCTATCAGCAGAACTGAAATAATATCGGATTAGACAATACATAATGCAATTTACCAGACGAACATGTGGCAAAGTGATTATTGATATATATATATATATATATATATATAATGATGATATGTAGGGTATTTTTCATATTTACTTTGTAGCTAATTACAATTATTTATAGATGCAATATGAGTTACTTAAGATTAGGTTATACTCCATCCCTCATAAAGTAAGTATTCATTTTTCTCTGTATTTTATTAAGGATAAAACTATCATTTAGTTAATTAAAAAGTGTAATAATTATACATTAATAAAACTTTGTGTTATTTTCATTGTGGACATTTATTTTAGAACAGAGGAAGTACAATATAAGAATAATTATGGAGAAGAAAATGATTTTGTATAACATTTGTAGTTTACAGCTCAAGCCAATACTTCCATTCAAGTTGGTGCATAGATATCTCTAATGGGCAACTTGTCAAGTGAGCTATAAAAAATCTTGCTCGTAATTGCCTTTGTGAGTATGTTTTGCCAAAGTGCCACCTGGTATTCTAATCTAACAAACAGGAAACCAATCATCCTTTCTTCCAGGTTTTATTTGATGAAGAGTCGGTCGATTTCAACAAGCACAGTACGATCATGTTGAACGGGATTGTGGAAGACGTCTATGGTTGCCTTGTGATCGCAATACAAGGTCCTTTCAAAGCTAGGAAAAAGCGAATTTCTATCATCAGTCTCTTTAGCGCCAAGTAGTTCGCATAGGCCTTTAGCCATTCCTCAAAATTCAGCATCGATACTTGATAATGCTACCATGTTATTTTTTCTTACTTCTCCATGTCACTAAGTTTCCTCCTACAAATGTGAACTAGCCTACAGCAGACTTTCTGTCAGACATGTTTTCTCCCCAATTACCATCTTCATTATATTAAGTTTAGAGAAATACATGAAACAGTTTCATTAAAATTTTATAAGTATTATATGAAACAATTTCATAACCATATATGAAACAACTTTATTAAAAAGTATTATATGAAACAATTTCATAAGATTAAACAATAAAATCGACGGATGAAGGTGATCTGCATTTGATCGCTCTTATATATATATATATATATATATATATATATATATATAGAGAGAGAGAGAGAGAGAGAGAGAGAG